GAGCGCCGCCGCACTTCCCAAGCGGCGCACTATCCAGTGCGCCACCGGGCCGGCCCCTCTGATTCAGCTTCTAATTTGTGTTTTAAAAAATGGTGGTAGTTCATAGAATTAATAAAAGGATTCTCTTCCAACTCAAATACTTATTTTATGGCTCATTTCTCTGGTCTCAGTTACCTAAAGTGACCTGTTTAAAGGTATTTAACTAGTATGTGGCTAAGCTAGAGATTAGAGCCTGAGTCAGCCAGATACTCTTTTCATTTCACTGCTATATGCTTTTCTTTCTAGGTCTAGAAAGAAAAATGGAAAGCTTTCTGTAGGAAGTGTTGCCTTTGACTGGAAATCAGAAATTATAGGGAGCCGGCCTGGTGGCGCACTGCTACAGTGCGCCGCTTGGGAGCGCAGTGGCACTCCTGCCGAGGGTTCGGATCCCACATACAGACNAAAAAAAAAAAAAAAGAAATTATTATTTTTTAGAGGAATTCAAGATATATTTATTATAATGAACAGTTTTTGTGCATTGTCTTAAGGGTCTTCACACACAGTGCTGCTTTATTTTATATGTTGGGTTTTGACATGAGTATTCTTTTTAATTAATTTATTATTTTTTACATTCTAAGATGTTGCTGAGCAGTTGGGTGAGGCAGAGGGGGAAAGAGGAGATAGGGTGAGATTAGGAGGAAGGGGGCTGTGGTCCAGGCTGGTGGCACTCCCTTTATACAGGTCGGGGAGCCCAGGGGTTTTCTGGTGGTGGCTCAGTTGTGGCTGGGCTGGATGCAGACATGTGTGGGAGAGGGGGGCATGACTGAGGCCTTCAGCCTTCCCCCTACACTGGCTTGGGAGCCTGGAGGTGCTTCCAGTCCTTGTAGGTTTTATAAGGTGTTCTTTGGTGGTGTTAGACCTTTACTGGTTAATTTCAGAATTTTGTCTCTGATTTGTGGGGTTTTTGTTTTTTCTTTCAGTTCTGTGTTGGATTATTCCCTATTCCCACCACTTAAACTCTGCACTGGAACTAATTTGTTGTCCTTTGGTTACTTCTAAAATGGGAAAACTTCCTGTGGGAACCAGCACTTGAGCCCTGTGGCTGAGCTAAATTGCTGCCTTGCTGCTGATTATCTGGGGAAGGCTTTTTGTGCAGCTCAGGTTTTAATTGTTGACCTTGTAAGCACTTCCTGGTCTTGTGAAGTCCGGTACACCTGGGTTGTGTGGAAACTCTGGTCTGGGCCTGAGTCTTTTCAGCAAACTGCACCCCCTGCAGTTCTATATTCCTGACCAGTATCCACTACATGGTCCTGTGCTGATTGGAGGGCAGATCACCTGTCTGTGCTGTGCCCCAGTGTTGCTCTGCTGGCTCCTCTTCCCCAAACCCCACACTTCCCCTCGGATGGTCCATGAGCCTGTCCCTTGCAGTGACTCACTGGCCTCTGAATGGCTCCTTTTTTCAGTTGTCTGTGGCCCCTTGCTCCTATGTGGGTCCATGGGAACACTGTTAGTAGTCTTGCTGCCCTGGGGGCCACCAAGGCCCTCTTCTCCCCTGTAATCTCCAAGTAACTTCATACAAAGGGCACAGCTGTGGCTTTTGCCAGCTCTTTCTCCATGTGCTCACCAGGGCCAGCCTTGAAATGGCTGGGGCTTGAAAAGGTCATAACAGTCCTTTCTTTCCCTAATCGTGACTTCTGCCTTCATGAACTCTGTAGGTCTCTCCTCCTCTTCCCCTGAGCTCTAGCAGCCCCAGCTTGGCAGTCCTTGCTTTTTAATAGTCGTAAATTGGTTGATTGTGGGAGAGGGTGACATTGGAGACCGTCTGTTCTGCCATCTTGATTGGAAGTCAGAAATCAGAAATTAGATAATTTCATTTCTAACTTATATTTGTGCCTTGAACAGTCAACTTTTACTTTCAAATTGTAAATTTATTGTAAAATTGTTTCTTAGTGTGTGCTTTTGGTCTAGATTTTAAACCTATGATCTCTTCTTCTAGTTGGATTGGATGCTGCTGGCAAGACGACCATTCTTTATAAACTGAAGTTAGGGGAGATAGTCACCACCATACCTACCATTGGTAAGAAAGTTTACAGATGACTTTAATTTGTATTATAGTGATATATTATAAGGTGAAATAGAATACAGTCTAATTTTGATAGTCTTTGTTAAGTTTGTTGATTATCTTAGCAGGACTTTTAAAAAGCTCTTCTAAGAGAGTTCCATAGTAAAGGGGTTTATTTCCTCAACGAAACATTATCTTGCACAGAGGTCATTTTTGTTTTTCTTTGTAGGTTTTAATGTGGAAACAGTAGAATATAAGAACATTTGTTTCACAGTTTGGGATGTTGGTGGTCAAGATAAAATTAGGCCTCTGTGGAGGCATTACTTCCAGAATACCCAGGTAAGGAACACTGTATGTTTTTATAACTATTCGTTATGGGTTTTATGCTCTGAAGTTTATGTTAATATCTAGTGTTTACTTGGATGTTGGTGTTTGCTGTATGAGTTGTCATTCTTCTTATTATTGCTTCCATATTCTTCAGTGGACTCTCACTCATGCCTTTGAAGCCTAAATTACCTAGGGTCAAAGAGTTACATAGCCATCACAGTAAGATTTTGAAAGATGGGGTGGGATGAGTGTGGTCATTGTTGTCCAGAATGAATTAGGTATTTTGTCAAGAATGAATTAGGTATCTCATCAATACTTCTTTTGGTTTCATTATTAGTTTGGAAAGTAAGGTCTGGGGCTGGTCGGTTAGCTTACTCGGTAAAACAGGGTGCTGATAACACCAAGGTCAATGGTTCAGATCCCTGTACTGGCCAGCTGCCAAAAAAAAAAAAAAAAAAAAAAAAAAAAAAAAAAAAAAAAAAAAAAAAAAAAAAAAAAAAAAAAAAAAAAAAAAAAAAAAAAAAAAAAAAAAAAAAAAAAAAAAAAAAAAAAAAAGGAAAAAGTAAGATCTGTATAACTTTCTGTCATTGAAGTTTGTAATGATTAAATGTAAGACTATTGATAGTCTTTCATTTAGCCCAGTTAGGTGTTTATAGAAAGAAAATATATTAAAGTAAATCTGCTACATTGATTTGTACGATATTTTTATACTGTCCTATCATATATATAATATGAGCATGGAAGAAACCTTAGTGATCCTGTAGAGCAGGAGATCTTAAATTTGGCTGCATGTTAGAGAATCACCTGGGGAGCTTGAAAAATCCTGAAGTTCCAATCATAGCCCTAGACAACCTGAATCAGAATTTCCGGTGATGTAAGCCAGGCATCAGCAGTGCTTCTCAAACTTTAGTATGCATGTGAATCACCTGGGTATTTGTTAAAAATGCAGATTGATTCAGTAAGGCTTGCCTGAGAGTTTGTATTTCTAGCAAATTCTCAGGTGGTGCTACTGCCACTGGTTTGGGATCTCACAGCAGCAGCTCTATTGGCATTTTTGGCTGGATATTTCCTTATTCTGGAAAGAGAAGCCTTTCTTTTTGCATTATAGAATACTTAGCAGCATCTGTCTTCTACCCACTAGATGCCAGAAGAAACTCTCCCTAGCCCACTTCTGACAATCAAAAATGTCTTCACACTTGCAAAATATCCCTTGGGAACAAAATTGCTCCCTGGTGAGAACCACTGTTCTGGTCTGTCTTATATATGAGGAAACTGAAACTTGGAATGACTTAATCCAAGACCTGAGATGAGAACTTACTCTATTTTCTTTTTAACCTTGTCCCAATTCTGTTGTCTTTTCTACCACACCAGGAGTTTCTCATCAGTTTTTGTTTATTACTGACGTTGATAATTTTTTTTAGTGAAATAATATTACAAGCACTTTATAGTTTAGGATTTGCAATGTCACTCTTATTTTCCAACTCTTAAAACATTGCATACAAGTGAGATGTATTGTCACTAGGTGGCAGTAAATACCCTTAGGTGCATGGTCGTAACAACTGGGTTTAAGTAGTGACTTGTGTTTAAAAAAAAAAGTGACATGCTTTTTTATTTAAAAATAAGAATGTTTATGTTCATTAACAGAGCTGTGACTAGAAAAGTTATTTTGATACAGAGATACTTGATTTAAAAAACTTTATTATGGAGATTTTCAAATATACACAAAAGTAGAGAGACTAGCATAATAAGCTCCCATATATCTATTATGCAATTTCAGTTATTAGGATATGGTCAATACTGTTAATTGATACTTATTTCTAATGTGCTTCACCTCCTGGATTATTTTAAGTAAGTCACAGGCATTTTATTTATGGAAAATGTTTTTTATAATTTTTTAATTGACACATAATTTTACATATTTATGGGGTACAGTGTGGTTTCCATACATGTATACATTGTGTAATAAATCAGTGTACTTAGCTTATCCATTACTTTATACATTTATAATTTTTGTGGAGAGAACATTTAAAATCCTCTCTTCTAGCTATTTTGAAATATACAATATTGTTAACCATAGTCACCCTACTGTACAGTAGAACACCAGAACTTATTCCTCCTATCTAACTAACTTTGTACCCATTGACTAATCTCTCCCTATCCTCCCCTCATCTTTACTCTTCCTAGCCTCTGGTAACCATTGTAATCTCTACTTCTATGAAATCAACTTCTTTAGATTTCACATCTGAGTGAGATCATGCAGTATTTGTCTTTCTATTCCTGGCTTATTTCACTTAACAGTATCCTCCAGATTCATCCATGTTGCCACAAATGACAAGATTTCATTCTTTTTTATAGCTGAATAGTATTCCATATTGTGTGTGTGTGTGTGTGTGTGTATGTATGTATACACACACCACATTTTCTTTATCCATTTATCTGTTGATGGACACTTAGGTTGATTCCATATCTTGGCCATTGTGAATAATGCTGCAGTAAACATGGGAGTGCAGATATATCTCTTTGACATACTGATTTCATTTCCTCTGGATAATTTGAGAGTACTTCAAAAAGTCCATGGAAAGATTTGTATTATCTTTTAATTGTTTTTCCACAAACTTTTTGAAATAGCCTCATATACCCAGTATTGGGATTGCTGTATCATACGTTAGTTCTATTTTTAATTTTTTAAAGAACCTCCACACTGTTTTCCATAATGGCTCTACTAATTTACCTCCCTACCAACAGTGTATAAATGTTCTCTTTTCTCCACATTGACTCTAGGATTTGTTATTTTTTTAATCTTTTTGATGATAGCCATTCTAATAGGGATGAGGTGATATCTCATTGTGATTTTGATTTGCATTTCCCTGATGATTAGTGATTTTGAGCATTTTTTCATATATCGGCTATTTGTATGTCTTTTTGAAAAATGTCTATCCAGGTCTTCTGCCCATCTTTAAATCAGATTATTTGGTTTTTGGTTTTTTTTACTATTGAGTTGTTTAAGTTCCTTGTATATTCTGGACATTAACCCCTGTCAAATATGTAGTTTGTAAATATTTTCTCCCATTCTGCAGGTTGTCTGTTTACCTCTGTTGGTTGTTGCCTTTGCTGTGCAGAAGCTTTTTAATTTGATGTAATCCCATTTGTCTTATTTTTGCTTTTGTTGCCTGTGCAAAAAAAGGTCTTATCCAAAAAATCCTTGCCCCATCCAATTTCATGTAGTGTTTTTTCCCTATGTTTTCTTCTAGTAGTTTCATAGTTTTGGGCCTTACACTTAAGTCTTTAACCCATTTTGAGTTGATTTTTGTATATGGTGATAGGGTACTAGCTTCTCCTGCGTGTGGATATCTGGTTTTCCCAGCACCATTTATTAAAGAGACAGACTGTCCTTTCCACAATATCTTTTCTTGGTGACTTTGTCAAAAATCAGTTGGCTGTTTGTGGATTTTTGAAATCTGTGCTTTTGAAGTGAAGTTAGATATGAAGTAAAAGTTCGCTAATCCTTAAACCATGTAATTCTTGACCAAGGGTAACCCTGGTTTTTATCCCTAGATTTTTTTTTAGAATGCTTTGTAATTTACTTTGAGTTCTTAATTTGAGATTAGACCTGTTCCTGGCCTCTTTGGACCACCTTAGAATTAAAAGTCCAGGTACTACTTCCTAGGAGGCTAATGTCCACGGGGGAAAGCTTTTAAGTGTTACTTGATGTAATCACCGCTAAGCTCTTAGCTTGCATTTCCAGCATTCCTGATATCAGTTCTCCTAGCTATAAAACTAAAACAAAACAAAACACTAACTATAGGCATTTAACTGTGCTTCCTATAGTAACAATCCAAAACACAGTGTGTAGTAAATTTTTCTTCCCTCATTAGATAATTCTAATTAATTTGCTATTCTAAATAATTAAGTAAATATTTGGCTTTTAAAAAAATCTTATAGCAGCCTGGTTTATCTTTAGAATCCTAGCATTTCTATGCTGTTGATTCTAGGCTATTCCAGGAAGGGAATAACTTAGAATTTATTCCTAAAATAATTCTCCCTCTCGATAATGTTACTTCAGGACTGATAGTGCTATTTACATTTTAAAACAGAATAGAAATAGAATGTTAGTAATCAAGATAAAATTAAATCCGGTTTAGAGGCATTACCTCTTCTTCTTTTTTTTTTTTAAAGATGACTGGTAAGGGGGTCTTAACCCTTGACTTGGTGTTGTGAGCACCATGCTCACCCAGTGAGCGAACCGGCCATCCCTATATAGGATCCGAACCTGTGGCCTTGGTGTTATCAGCACCTCACTCTCCCAAGTGAGCCACGGGCTGGTCCGAGGCATTACCTCTTCCGCAGGGTAGATTCTAAAAAGGAATAGTTTTGCTGCCTATAGGTACGTTTCATATTTATTTTGTCCTTTAAGTTTAACTTATAATTTATTGAAAAAATTTTTCCCCAGGGTCTTATTTTTGTGGTAGATAGCAATGATCGTGAAAGAATTCAGGAAGGAGCAGAAGAGCTGCAGAAAATGGTGAGAACATACTTTATCATTTTTAAGATGTGTTTTCTAGGTGATGATGGTGGTGTTATTAGTGGTTGGTACATTTTAACTATGATTATATTACACAAATGAAATTTTACAGCTAAAAAGAAACTTGAGAAACAGTATCATTCACAGGTTCTTAATAATGTACATAAAAAACTCCTATAGAACTTTTTAAAAAACACAAAGAAGAGTAGCTACTTCAGTAAGCCAGGAGGAAGGCACAGCTTTTTTTAGAATGCTCCATGAGTGATTTTGACTAGAGTGTGGTTTGTAAAACCATTATGCCAGTATATTTGTAACTAAGTTATTGGTGGCTATTGCCTAATGAGTCAAATGTTACCAACTTCTAGTCTTTTTTTGTAAATAGCTTGATTGAGATATAATTCATGTACCATAAATTTCATTCATTTAAAATGTACAAGTCAGTAGTTTTTAGTATACAGAGTTGTACAACCATCACCACAATCTAATATTAGAAAATTTTCATCACTCCCCAAAAAATCCTGGAACCATTCAGTCACTTCCCATTCCTCCCCCCCCTACCCTTGCCAGCCAACAATCTTCTTTCTGTCTCTGTATGGTCACCTATTCTGGACATTCATATAAATAGTATCATACAGTATGTAGTCTTTTGTGATTAGCTTCTTTCACTTAGCCTAATTTTTCAAGGTTCATCCATGTTGTATCATGTATAAGTACTTAGGCCTGCCATTGTTTATTCTTGGTATTCTTGTATTTTTTCATGATACTGCTAATGCCCTGATGTATTGTATTTTCCCACTGTTATCTGGTCCAGCTGACTGGAAAGGATAAAAGTCCAAGCAGGATCATCTAAATACTTTTGCTGCTAAGTAACTTAAGATCTTGCCATAAACACTTTATTCCCATATTTATTTCTTGCCCTTGTCCAAGCTGATCCTTGATGTATTATCATGAAGGCTGAATGAATGATTTACCTTAATGAAGTTGTAGGATAGTTGGCTTGAAAACAGTTTTGCTTGACTTGAAGAATTGTTCGCTCTTGATTTAAAAATGGAAGGATATGAGATTTTAAGTTGCAAGAGTACTGAAACTTTATGTAGAGAAATTTGATGTTCAGTAATGTATTTAATGTTGTATAAAAGGTATATATAGGAAGACAGTGTTTTACCCTGTTTATTACAATAGTTGGGTTCCAATTTGGCAGTTGTTAATGCTTAGCTTGTATTTCCAGCTTCAGGAAGATGAGTTGCGAGATGCAGTGCTGCTGCTTTTTGCAAACAAACAAGATTTGCCAAATGCTATGGCCATCAGTGAAATGACAGATAAATTAGGTCTTCAGTCTCTTCGTAACAGAACAGTAAGTATTTAGAGGTTGATAAATTAACCTCCTGACTATTAAAGTTATTAGGGTAATTGTTTAAGCTAGTGTTCAGTTTAAACATTTATCAATTGTCCCCTTTGAACATATAATGAGCACATCATTTATAAAAAAAATATAGTAATAATCCTCTTTCGCTTATACAAAAATCAGCCCTTTGAGGCTTTATTTCAAACCTTTATGAACATTGCATTCTATTTTACTTTAAAGTACATTGATATCTTCTCTGTTTTTTAACTTTTAGTATATTCTTTGAGGATCTAGAGGTTTGAAGATCTTTATTTAATTTGATTTTTGTTAATTTTAATATTGATAAAGATGTGGGAAACAACTGTAGGAGAATTGGAATATCTAAAGATTATTGATATTCTTAATGTTAACTTTGTATCTTTTAAATAGTTCCATAGCAAATATTTTGGAATTTGGTTTTCTTATTAAAGGTTCAATATGTAGTAACTATTTTAGATAATATTGTTTAGTACTGCTTGCTTGTTAACATCAAAAGCTTTCGGAAGAAACTGTATAATATTAAACAAGTCTTGAAGGTATTTTGAATATAAATTATAAGAAATATTGTACTTGCTCTCAAATAGCTTATCATTTTATTTATTTAATTTATTTTTATTTTTATTTTCTGGTGGCTAGCTGGTACAGGGATGAAACCCTGGACCTTGGTGTTGTCAGCATCATGCTCTAATCAACAGATCTAAGAGGCTAGCCCCTGCTTTTATCATTTTAGATATTGACAAAACACAATATACTGTTTTATATATAAAGGTGATATCACAAACCATTAGTGTCATGTGCTTAATAATAGTTTTTTTTTTTTCCTTTTTGTCTTTTTTTGTGTCCGGCAACGGATCGCAACCCTCGGTGTTGCTCCCACACCTCGCTCAGCCAGTGAGCGGGAACCGGTCTGTATGTGGGATCCGAACCCTCGGCGGGAGCGCCACAGCGCTCCCAAGCGGCGCACTGTAGCAGTGCGCCACCGGGCCGGCCCTTAATAATAGTTTTACATTAACTTGTCAATGCAAATATTGTGCTGTGGCAAACAAACAAACAAACAAACAAACAAAAAACCTGTATAGACTGTTTGAGATGTCCCAGGCTGATTTAAACAAGATAAACTGTTAAGTTTTCCATGCTGTGAGGGTATGAATTCATGCCTTACCCCAGCCTTCTAGGTTACTGGGGTGTTTGCTTTTCAAATAGTAACTGGTAACATAGTATGCCTGCAGTGATCTCTCAACATTAAAGCAAGGTTTTTATTCTAAGGCAAAATAAAACTGGTCAGAAAAAAAAAAAAAAATTAAATTACCTTAAAGGTAATTAAATTGTTTTCTAGTTTTTGTTGTTGTTGTTGTTTGATATTAATACCTGTAACTTGTCATTGCATTTCATACTGGAGATAAGATTCTTTACCATTTAAAAAGGTGAAACTTTTTGGAATTCATGAAATTAAAGGTAGTGAAATTATCTGAAAAGCCTGTCTCTAAAATAACAACAAACCCTACTCTTTCAAAAATTTACTTCTACTGTGAATTTAGTTTTATGGGAAACAACAGGGCTATAAAGACCAGTTTATTGGTTACTAATTTCCCCATGAATCTTCTGTTCAGATTAAGTGGTGGAAAGCTGACTAAATCTAATGAATAGGTTGAAGTAGCTTTAAATATGACCTATATTTAAAGAAGAATCCTAATTTAAAGGGTAGATAATTTTGAGTGATCTGTATAATTACTAAGATCATTATATAATTAATCATTTGTTTGTGAGATGTAATAACATACTTAACATTTATTTCTATGGTTTACAAATGTTTTGTTTACTTTTTTTCCTTATACATTTATGGTGATTGCTGACTCAGTAATACCCTTGGGCATTTGAGGGAAAATATTTTTCTGATTTAAAAAGTTAAAACTGGTTATATATAGTCTTATATTAATCAAGTATTTTCTTGTCCTTTCTTTACAGTGGTATGTTCAAGCCACTTGTGCTACACAAGGAACTGGTCTGTATGAGGGACTTGACTGGCTGTCAAATGAGCTTTCAAAACGTTAAATGAAACTGGATATCTAACCAAGGACACATTTCATAGAATTGGTCTAGGCTTGTTACAACAAAATTAGTTTGCATCTTGGTTATTAAACTATCTGGGACTGGTTGGGGCAGAATATTACAGCGTTTAAACTTATTTTGTTGCCAATTATTGTTTACCAAGTATAATGTTGCTATTTAGCAATAGCTTGGTTTTAAAGAAATTCTCCTTGGGGAAAAAAGTGTTCTCTTTTAATTTTACTTCCCTTAAACCTAAATGCCTGGATGTAGTTATTGTGATACCTTTAAATAAATCTGTTTTGAATGTTTTTTGAGCCCACAACAAACAATGTTTTTAAGTTATCCCCTTGCTACTTTACTGATACCTTTATCATTCCTGGGACAGTCTGCTGATTTAAAAATGTAGCATTCCGTTTGTATTTATTTCTCTCCCTTGCCAAAAATATTTTTTAATACTGCTTGTACCAGCCAGGGAAATACTCCAAAACACTATTCAACTGTCTTGCACTGAGGGACTTATTTCTCCCCCATTATTGACTGCTGGCTTCCATCAGCCAAAATTAACCTTGGTGTGGTTTGGATTTAAACCTAATTAATTCTGTGCTGGTTGCAAAGAGTTCATATTGAGTTGGTTTTTAATACTCAGCAGATTGTCTTCCTTTATATTGTATCTTTTTTATGTTGCATGTTGAGTTTGGTATCAGCCTCTTTGCCCAGTATATGATAGATAATTCAGCTAATGTTTTATTGTTTATTGGTGAACATATTTTCATTAAGAGTTTTTTGAAAACTCATCAGATTCAATGAATAAGTTTTCTTCATAACCCATTTGGAATTATTCCTAATAAAATGATAAAATATATAATTGTGTGTGTTCTTTTTGAATCTTCAAGATATTTTGAAATGGATTTTCTTATGTATCAAAGTTTGATTTGCATATTTTACATACTGTGGACAATAATACAGATCCCAGTAGTTTTACTAATTGTCTAAGGTGGAAATAAAATATGGGTTGTTATCATGTGTATAACAGAGTAGGAAGCAATATATAAAATTCAGTTTTCTTTGATAAAATACCATTTTTAAAAATTCTACTGCTGATGGACATTGTGGGTTTTTTTTTTTTTTNAGCAATATATAAAATTCAGTTTTCTTTGATAAAATACCATTTTTAAAAATTCTACTGCTGATGGACATTGTGGGTTTTTTTTTTTTTTGTCTTTTAGTTTATCAATATACATTATAGCTGATTTTCCTAAAATAACATTTTGATGCTGTAAATTTCTTAAGTCAGATCAAGAGTAAAAGGCCGTAATAAAACGAACTGCCCCTAAAGCATGTATACATGTATTTGTTTCACAGCCAATGTTAGTTAAAAAGCAAAAAAAAAAAAAAATTCGATTCAGTTTTCTTTGATAAAATACCATTTTTAAAAATTCTACTGCTGATGGACATTGTGGGTTTTTTTTTTTTTTGTCTTTTAGTTTATCAATATACATTATAGCTGATTTTCCTAAAATAACATTTTGATGCTGTAAATTTCTTAAGTCAGATCAAGAGTAAAAGGCCATAATAAAACGAACTGCCCCTAAAGCATGTATACATGTATTTGTTTCACAGCCAATGTTAGTTAAAAAGCAAAAAAAAAAAAAAATTCGAGTGCTGTTTGCATGACAGGATACATAGACTGTTAGTGATGCTACTAGGCATTTAAAAATTTTACACATTTTAGAACTTCAACAGAAAGCTGCAGGTGACTAATTCTTTCATCAATAAGGCAATAAAGGTATACCATTAACTATATCTATTAAGTTATTAAGGACTCAACTTGATAACTGGGTAACTCAAGTTTTGTCTATATTCTAATGTTTTATGTGTTTTCAAACTTTGCTTTTTTATGGTTCTTAATGACTTATATAGATTCAGTTAAATTTATGGATTGAAAATTTATTTCCAAGACCAAACACATACTTGTAAAAAAAATTATATTTTTAAATTGTTTTTTAAAAAAAAGACTGGATTAAGAAAAAAAAATTAGAATTAAGTATTTGGTGATAGTGCAAAACAAATTACTGAGATAAAGTGTATATTTAACTAGTTTGTGTCACTTGATATGCAACTTTCCTAGGACACTGGATGAATTCTCCCTTCTTCCTTCCAAATAAGAGAGGTCTTATTTCTTGTTAGATAAAACATGGTATAGTTTCTATAGTTTATGGGGTAGCAACTAGGAGATAAAAGCTTCACTAAGTGCTGTGTTAGAATCATAGTTAAATCAACACTGAATTAATTTGAAAAACTAAACCAATTAAGTCAATGGTGCACTACCATTGGAGATGACTGCATTAAACTAAAATTGCCTAATTTTCACTGAATGGGTTAAAAAAGAATTTTAAGATTGCTTTTTTTTTTTTTTTTTTTTTAAAGAAAGCATTCACTTGGCAACTTGGCAGATGTTTTTTATCCCTAGAAATTACTTTCAGTTCTCATATTATTTTCTTCAAAAGTCAAATTGTAAAGTTCCATTTTTTTCAAATAGAAGTGATTAAATGCTTTGGGAAAAAGTATAAATTGAGAGATTTTTTTTTTTTTTTTTTTTTTTTTTTTTTAAAGAAAGCATTCACTTGGCAACTTGGCAGATGTTTTTTATCCCTAGAAATTACTTTCAGTTCTCATATTATTTTCTTCAAAAGTCAAATTGTAAAGTTCCATTTTTTTCAAATAGAAGTGATTAAATGCTTTGGGAAAAAGTATAAATTGAGAGATTTCCCAATATATGCAAACTTATAAAATCATTATCCCTGTCCTAATTTATTGAAGTGTTCAGTACTCTTATGAAATACTTGACACTATTAAGATTCAGTGCTTACTGTTCGCTCAAATATTAAACTTAGTGTTGGTCAATCAGTAAGAGGTCTCTGTGACCTCCCCTACTATACACAACAGTTGATTATACCCCTAGATTAAAAAGTATTCTGTCAAATAATTACCAAATATGTTGATGGAGGAACTGAAGAGGCATTGTGATTCCTTTAATGGCTCACTAGCAGCATGAGGTTTGAGGATAATCCCATTGTCTGTTCTCTGTCCCCTGTCCAGTAAGCTTTTTTTTTTTGTCCATAATATTCCCCATTGTCTTTTGGTTAGCTTCTTGGCTGCTTTTCTCTGATGTAATATCTTAATTTTTTTTAAAGATTTCAATTTCCATGGATCTTTTTCCCTTTACCTTACATAGTCTCTACTGAAAATAAAAACAAATGAAATATTTTGCCTTAATTTTTCAGAGTATCAGTGTTTCATTCAGAGACTTCCAGTTTAGTTCAGTATAGGTACAGAATTATCTCATACATAGTAATTATTTTCAGGACACTTACTGGGATCAAACTTTCTTAAATGTGTAATTTCTGGTTCTTTGTCAAGGAGATTTGAAAGTGACTTCTGACTTGTCATTGAAAGCAAGTGCTTATATTATATTCCCTGGTGGCAGGCTGGATGTTTCAATAATGTAAATATTGGTTACTAACTTTGGTAGAATGAATATCAAAACAAGATGGAGTGATAAAAGCAAATGGTTGTTATATCTGCTAGTACATTATCTAAAGATCTGATAAAGGGAAAATTAGTGAAGGGTCTGAGGACCTATTCAGAAGATTCTATTCTGAGTGTGATTGGTAATAATCTATTACCAGCAGTTTACCTTTTCCAAGGAACAACAGAGTAAGTGTTGGGATAGTACCAGCACACCAAGAACTTTTCTCAGACATTTCTTTATATAATCAGGAAAAAATACTAGCTTTACATTGTTAATCTCATTAAGGTAACCTAAACATTTTACTTTAAAGGCTACATTAATATAAAAATGGAATTAATTAGGACTTGGCTCTAAAATTTACTCTTGAGAGTAAAATTTACTTAAGCTCCAAGTATATTCTTGACATATTTCTTCTAACATGTGTTGTGACATTGTATTCAGATACCTAACTTGTTACTACTACTGGAAGGTTACTTGACTGCTTCTGTGTTACTTTTAGACAAATATCCTTTTATCTTACAATTATTTCCACAAACCATATAAGATGTTTAAGTGTTTAAATAGCCAAGATTGTGAGAAATGAATAATAAAAGCAATTATCTAGACTCAGGCAAGGAATAATTAAGGTAGCTGTACTAGTGGATGCCTGCTAGGTCATTTGTGTGTTAAAGGACAGTAGAGTTAGGTGATTTTTACACTTGTAGTGGCACGCTTTAAATTTTATTGAGCATTGTAGTGGATTGAATTATGTCCCCCCAAAACTCCCTGAAGCTTGAATTGTGTCCCCCAAGTTTTATGTATTAGAAACTTAGCCCCCATTGTGACTGTTAGGAGGGTGGGAAATCCTATTATGGTAATTGAAAGGTGGAGCGTTAAAGAGGTGATTGGATTGTAGGACCGTGTGGTAGTGAATGGATTAAAAATGGTGGTCAGGGGTGTGGTCCTGAGGGCTTTAAAAGAAGAGGAGAGTCTGTCTTTCTCTCTCTGCTTTCACCATCTTGCATTGTGAGACCCTGGGTTCCTGTTGCCACCACCAAATGGACTTTGGACTTCCCAACCTCAGAAACTGTAAGCAATAAACTTCATTTTTTTTTGTAATTCACCCAGGTCAGTATACTTTAGTATAAGCTACAAAAACAGACTAATACAGGCGTGTAAGTACTCAGTTGGTGGTGTGGAGCTTAGCCCTGTCTTCTGCAGGCAGTGAGCTGGCTCTCAGAACTGACCAGATGTAGGTTACGGTGTTTCTTCATATAGGACATTTTGAGTGCCATTCCACTGATAAGGATGTATTAAGCACAGACTGAGCAAGGTTTACGTCCTGGATGGCTCTGAGGAGGCAAGGGATAATTTTTTTTTTTTTAAAGGAGGGGCTGCTAAACATCAAAAAATGGACAAAGGATTTGAACAGACATTTCTCCAAAGATACATGGATGGTCAGTTAGCAAATGAAAAGATGCCCAATATCATTAACCATCAGGGAAATGCAAATCAAAACCGCAATGAGATGTCACTTCACACTAGGATGCCTATAATCAAAAAGATAGTGTGGAGGATGCAAAGAAATTGGAAGTCTCAAATATTGCTGGTGGAAATGCAAGATAGTGCAACTAACTGCTTTTGATAATAGTCTTTCAGTTCTTCAAAAGGTTAAATATGACCCTATAGTGCCACTTCTATGTATATGCCCAAGAGAAATGAAAAGATATATCCACTCAAAAACTTGTACACAAATGTTTATAGCAGCATTATTCACAGAAATCAAAAAGTGGAAACCATCCAAATGTGTATCGGCTGATGAACAGAGAAGTAAAATGTGGTACAATAACAAAAGGGAATATTAGTCATAAAAATGCATTTAGTAGTGGTACATGCTACAACATGGAAGAATCTTGAAAACATGCTAAGCGAAAGAAGCCAGTCACAAAAGACTGCATAATTATAGTACTCCATTCATATGAAATACCCAGAATATGCAAATTCAGAGAGACAAAGTAGGTAAGTGGTTGCTGGGGGAATGGGGAGTGACTATTAATGAGTGTGGATGGGGTTTCTTTTTAGGATCAGTCCTTGTCAATTGATTTGACACGCAGTAACAGAAAAGCCATTAAAGAGGAAAACATCAATTTAGGATTGAAGAGCCAAGGCTCTTCTTCCTTATTTCTTTCTTCATCCTTATTTAGGATGAAGAAAAAGGATATAAGTCAAGATGCCAAAAGCCAGATTTCTCTAGGTATGTAATGAAAGGGGTAATGTAATTCCACTATTTACAATAGAATTCTTAATTCTACAGCTTGAACAGAAATATCCTTTCTTGGTTCAAGACATCCAAAACACTATACTTAACCCAGGCCAGTTTTATTTCTAAATGATTTTATCTCTGAGATATACCATTCCTCCAAACTATTCCAAAGGGGAAATAAAAAGTGATATGCAATAAATTCTTTTAGGAGTGTATATTATTCATCCAGTAAAAGCCAACTAAATAAAGCCTATCCAGTTCCCTACTGAGCCATCTTCAATATGGAAAGAACACAAATGGGATGAACTAGAAAAATGCAACCTAGCAGTACTTCCAACATCAACACTCCAGGATAATATCATTAAAGTGAATTACTGGGTAAAATGGACTGTGTTATATAAATGCTTTAACATAACATCAACACATAAAATGGACAGAAGATGGAAATTAATGATTTAGTTTGCAAGGAAACTTAAAATTAGTAAAAACCTAATACTGACAGGGCTGGCGGGTTCGGATCCTATATAGGAATGGCCGGTGCGCTCACTGGCTGAGCGCGGTGCAT